TTCCAAAGGGGGCCGAACATACAATGAAACATTCCTCCAAATTCATGCAAGGAAATAAACCAATATGTTCACAACAAGAGAGGATGAATTTGGCTATGAAGATGTATTCACTTAAATGGATTAACATTCATTTATCTTATTAGTCCATGAACTTGCATAGGGGGCGTACATTGTATCTACTTAAGGATGAACATTCATCCATGAATATTAAATCATTAAATCTTGTTTGTGCATCCTAGACATCTCTTAGGCCTATAAATAGCTTTCCATTTCATTTGTAAAGGAAATTCACTTTGTTTAATCAAATATTTGTGAGAGTTTCTCTCTTTAGTTCTTAAGTGAACTTTATCGACTTATCAAGCTTATGCTTGTGGCGTCACCCCTATCTATGTCACCCTGATACTTCTAGTTCCTATCTCTTTATAGATAGTAGGTCAAAGTCCTTGTTTACCATCCCTTAAAGAAGCAATATAAAGTCTAGGTCGTTGTTCTTTAAAATTGGTTCTTTTTTGAGTCTTCTTTGAGATACTACTATTCATATTCATCTCCATCACCTTCATTCTACTTCCATTACCATACTTCATCATTTCCTTTAAACATATCACCAACTTATATATATATTCCGCTTCCATATTTATCTTTCTATTTCATTACTTTCATTTAACTATTTTTTAGCTTTCTTGTTTGTGCAGGATACTTGTTGCTTTCCTAGATCGAAACAATCAAAGGTACAATCTTGACTTCACCATCCATCCAAGTGAGGCTAGGTTGAACTGTATCAAAAACCTGCACAAGTAAATGTCTCAAAATAGATGGTTAAGGGTGGTAAACGTATGGGTGAATAGGTAGGCTATTTAAATAATGAATGATGGAAGCGGAAGATGGTTGATATGGCTATGGATATGGCATATGAAACAAAGGGGTGTTTGTGAGGTAGTATCTTAAAGAAGTATCAAAGAAGAACCAATGATATAGAGAACAAAGACCCATACTTTATATTGCTTCTTTAAGGGGTGGTATTAAGTACTTTGACCCACTATCTATAAAGAGATAGGAACCAGAAGTTTCAAGGTGAAAGAAAGGGATTGACGCCATAAGTATTTAAAATGCTTGATAAGTCGATAAAAGTCACTAGGACTTAAGGAAGAGAATAATCTCACTTATATAAAAAAATTGTCTGAATACAATTGAGATATGCTTTCCTATTTATATGAAATGGAGGGGCATGGCCGAGTAGGGACATAATGGTTCGGCCAGTCCATGTATCTCCCTATAAAGACATAATTTAAATGCTAAAAGAGATGATGGTTCAGCCCTTGATGGAGGGAAATGATCCTTGGCTGAATAACACTTGTATCCCTTCAAATTGGTGCCAAATAGGAGAGGAGATGATGCTTGGCCGAATGGTTAAATGGCTCTTCATCTTGGCGCCTAAATAAACCCACATGCAAGGAACATGGGGGCTGGTCATATGTAAGGCACATGGGAGTTCTAGGGAACCTTGTGGTGTAGCCTTGTGCATGGGATGATGGCTGGTCATTCTTTCCCTCTTGGGCGTGCATGTGATTCCTTCAAGCTAACTTGAGTGTGGAACTAGTTAGCAAGCATGGGTTGTTTTGTAAATAAGTTTCCGAGTCGAGTCTTTGTGAGCTCCATAACAATATGTTCAGCTATATTTAGCTACCATTGATATCACTTTTGGCAACTCAGCTCCAAATAGTCCTACTAGGCGAGTTTAGCTAGCCTTGAGCTCTCCCAGCTGAATTGAGCTTTCCTTAGCGTCCCATGAGCTGCCTTGTACCTTGTGAGCTGCATATGACGTCCAAATCATCCACTAAGCTACCTCAACATGCATCACACTCCAATGTACCTATATGTGCAAGGAAACAAGGTAAGTCCATGGTATTGAGTTGTTATGAGCTAAATACCTTGCTGCCATGTATGATTATGGTAATGTGAGCTATGTTTGAAGGTAATGAGCTAATTATATCATCTCATAATATGTGTAAGATAATGCATGAAGCTTAAGAGGTAATATGAATGCATATGAACTAATAAAATGAATTATAATGATGCTGCCTTGATGTATATAAGGTAATCATGTTTTATATGATTATAAAACTATCCTAATATGCTTAAATATCAATGTGCATGTTGTGTTCATACTAAGTAATTCTTTAACTATTAAAACCTTATATAACATAACAAAATACTTATCATGAATTGTATTATAAGAGCATGTAGTATATAACATATATATATAGTAATTTCAATATAAAGGTGTTAAAGAGTACTCCCTTTATTGATGAAAACGTGCTTGCATCATCCCCCCTTCTTTAGGTCGATTTGTCCTCAAATCGACTTCATTCTATCCTTGCATAATGTCACTCCTCCATGCTAAAAGAAAGCATCCTTTGAATGGTTGTGTTCTTCCATTAGGTATCCTTTCATAAGATTTCCCTTTAGGCCTTTCTTTGGAATTTGATTTACCAACATGTACCTTTTAAGAGTGATCTTCTTTTAAGGATATCCCTTTTGGAAGTGACCTTTGACGTGATTGGTCCTGAAAAGTGAGGAGAGAAGAGGTTTCAAATGAAGGGTTACTTACCTTTTGGCGATTAAAACCCTTGGTGAAAAGTTGTGTCTTTAAATTCCAATCATCACCAATTTTCGTAGGAACCTCTTCCTTTTCCATCCTTGAACCATCGTGTTTCTTTATAAAGAAGTTTGGTTTCATGTTTCATTCCTCTTCATTCTTCTTTGGGGTTTTATCTTTGCACCATGCTTATACACTCTTTCGCATATACAACTGATCTTGTTGCACCTCTTTTGGCATCAAAGGCATCAAGGTTACCTTGCATCCATCATGCTTAAAAATGTATTGATTGTGATAACAATCATGAATGGCCCTTTTGTCATACTGCCATGGTCTTCCAAGTAAGATGTGGCTAGCATGCATAGGAAAAATGTCACAAAGCACCTCGTCCTTGTACCTACCAACTGAAAATGGAATTAGAACTTATTTGGTAATGTGTAACTCACCTCCTTCATTGAGCCATTGGAGTTTATATGGAGTGGGATGCTTTGATGTTGCCAATCCAATATGCATTAGAAGAGAGCTCATTATGAAATTAAGTGAGATTATTCTCTGTTTAAGTCCTTGTGACTTTTATCGACCAAAAGTAACTGTTACTTGTGGTGTCAATTCCTTTCATTATGATAATTCTGGTTCCTATCTCTATATAGATAGTGGGTCAAATTCCTGTTACCACCCCTTAGAACGATTTGTAAGGCTGGGTCTTTGCTCTTTGTAGCACTGGTTCTTCCTTGGTTATTCTAAGATACTATCCATTCCTTATTTACCATCCCTTATTGGAATAATATAAAGTATGGGTCTTTGTTCTTTAACATTGATTCTTCTTTGAGTCTCCTTAAGATACTATCATATTTACCATTCCATTAATTCGTAATCACTTCATAACCAACCAAGTCTTTCGCTACCATCTCTTATCCGACCATTTACCATCAAGTTACCACTTAAACTATCCATTTCTTACCCTTTTCTTATGCAGGTTGTTTTGCTTCCTTCCTAGATCCACAATCGATCGACGAGGTCGATCGGATCGCGTCATTTGGTATCAGAGCTAGTTGGAAGAAGCACCGTACATCAAGAGATTATCGTATCTTACGTAATTAGAGCTTTGTTGGAAGAAGCAACACAACGAAAATAAAAAAAATATATACAAAAGAGAAGTGCAAGTATAGTGCAAAGTGAAAAACGAAAAAAAAAATCAGCAAAAGAAGATTAAAAACGTTCAACAACTTATCACCAAGCCATTCAAGTAAGCTTTGATTGATTGTGGTGATAGAAAGGTTGTGAATTAACTTTGTCCGACGCAAATCGAGTAAAATCTACTTGATACGGTTTTTGAGTAAAGTCATTTTAGGACTTGACATAAAGAGAATTGAGCGGTAAAAGGCAAGAGTGAACACCAAGGGTAAAAGCCATCCCGAGTTAAACACGAGTGTTGAGCGACATTCAAGTTTTCTTTGGAGTGAATTGGTGAGATTCTTTTTATGTTACTAACAGTTATTTTGATTATTTTATTAATCTTTTTTCTTTTCATTATGTCTCGAAAGTACACAAGATCAAATGATTATACAGTAGATGACGAACGAGATTTTTTATCAAATTCTCAATTTCAAGATTTCAGTCGAATTGAGGAGTTTGCTCAAAGAAAGTCTCAACCCAATCATAAAGACGATGGATCGTATAATCGAAAAACGTTCTTGTTCACAAACACCTCCGCCGAAGATCAGGGGCCAAATCAAGAGGAGACGACACTCGACCCGTTCCTACATCCAATTGGAACGAAAGATCTTACGAAGAGGATTCCAATTTCCGAAGCAATGTCAAAAGTTCACGAGAAGAGCCAAGAAATTTTGCATGTTTTAATCCAGAAAGTCTAGCTCGTCTTCAAGAGTGTGTTGACAATTTTCGTCAAAGAACACAATTGCAAGAACAACTACAAAAAGAAAGTGTTTGCAAAATAAAGAAGTGAAAGTTGAAAACGACATTGAGAGCAATGAAATAAGAAAATCGATGTGAGAAATGTTGGAGTCGAAAATGAGAATGAGAGTGAAAATGAAGAATTTGAAAAAGAATTGTTTGTGCAAAGGAGAAAGAGTGTAAAATTTCAATTTGCACTAACAACCTTAACCATCTTCTTCTATTTTGGATCTTCATTGTTGCAGGAGGACAGACGAGTACTTCCAGAAACATGATAACACATCGCCAACCCTTGATGATCGCGCATCGTCCATGCTCTAGCAATGTTTCAAAGAAGGACTTAATGAAAATTTCTATTCCCAGGAACCTGGTACCCAATGATATCATCAAGTATCATCCAAGGTTAATCTTTCTAACTCTTTTGTTATTGATTTACCTACTAACTTTTATTACTATTTGGAGGGACGATACAAAAACGTGGAATTGATGTATGAGTTGCGAGATAAGTCTTTGCAATCTTGATAAGAAATTGCCACTCTCCAATTTGCAAATAAACGATTTGAAGGAAAAGCTATCCCACCATCCTCATGATGATTCAAGGAAATATGAAGTTACCAAATATGAAGTCAAGAGGTTGACCATTGGAGAAAGGTATGAGGATTCCATCCATCCTACATCAAGAAGGTCTTCAATGAGAAATCATTTCGATTTGAGGACAAATCGCCAAAAAGAAAGGGAGGATGATGTGAGCACGTTTAGGGCCGGTTTTCTCCATGACGAAAACCCCTCAAGGACGTTCTACCTTATTAACTCTAAGGGAGTAATTCCTTACTTTATTACTTATTTACTTATTTATGCATTACATTGCATATTAGTAATTAAGTTGTTTAGTATGTTAGAGTAGCTTTGCATATCATGTTTCACATTTTCGTTCAATCATCATTCATGTCAAGCATATATTGTATCATATTAGTTTTGCATTTCATCTTAGTATTTAAGATGTTCACGTGTTATGTAACATGTTTCCATAAACAGCATACTTGTAGCTAATTTGCATTCAACTTAGTTCCTAGGTTATTCAACTAAGTTCACGTGTTGTTCACATATCATTGTGCAATTCATTTGCATTCATATTTAATTATTGTTAGCTCATTAATATTTGTCATCTTAGCATTCATGCATATGTGTTTGTTCATGAGAAATAAAATTACTTATTCATGTTTTCACGTTCAGCATATCACTTGTGTGACTTATTTTAACGTGTTATTCTGCATTTATGTATCATTTGCCGTGCATTTGCAATCAACCTTGCATATTTTAGTAATCATACATATTAAACATTTAGCTCATTTATAAAATAAGTTCACGTGCTCTTTAATGCAAACAAAGGCTCACAAGACACAAGACACACATGGCAGCAAGTTTTATCACTTATAATATCACGTTAATATTAGTTTATTGCACTTGTAGGGAACACAAAGCTCATGCTCCATACTGGGCGGTTTTTGAGGAGGTTATTTGACATATTTTCATGGTACAAAACGGTAACAAGGCTATTAAAATATAGCACAAGTTGGAGCAGCGTATTGAAGCTCTTATCCAGCTCACTCTACGGAACACCAAGTGATCAGCCCATGCTGGACGATTTTTAAGGGATTCTTTGAACACAAATCCAGCACATAACACGACCATGTGGGTTGATAAATAATGGAGAACGTTTTGGAAGCTTATGGAGCATTAAAGGAACACCAAAGAGTATGCCCATGATGCACGGTTAATGGAGCATTATTTAAACACATTTCCAGCACGTTCCAGCATTTAAAGGATTAAGAATGGCTCACCCACCTATTCAACAATTCATGGTAGAATATGAGCATTTAGGGAGAATGAATTTGGTTGGAAATTCACCACCAGCCTTTTCCTTGATTAAACTATTATCTCCACTTGGGAAAGATGAAGACAAATCCACGTGAGTTTTATATTGTAAAGCACACAAGCCAAGCACTTAAGGGAACAACCCATGTGCGTGAAAGGAGGCACTAGACATCCCATGTGCGTGAAACACTCCAACAGCTCATGTATTATTAATCAGCCATGACTAGACCATCACTCACAAAGAAGGCCAGTACACGCCAAATCACACTTGAAGACAACCATGTGCGTGAAACACTCCAACAACCCATGTGCTCACTTATCTCCACTTTGTTTAATCTCCACTAGACATCTTTTAATGAGATTCGGCAACACACTCCACCAACCATATGACCGAAAATCATGCAAGAATTTGAGCTGAAATTATGTCTAAAGGAGTCCACGTCAACAAGCACCAAGAGGCCATGCAAATTGAAACAATCAGCCATGCATTTTGTACCATACGTCCATGCATGTTATAATTTTAGCCTTTGTATTTCTAGTCTTATAAATAGCTTCATTTTGCATTGTAATGATAGACTTTGTTTTAATGAAATTGTGAGAGTTTTCTCTAATCGAGTCCTTCGTGACTTTTATCGACTTATCAAGTAATTCGTTACTTGTGGCGTCATTCCTTTCACCTTGATACTTATGGTTCCTATCTCTTTATAGATAGCGGGTCAAAGTCCGATTTACCATCCCTTATCGAAGCAATATAAAGTCGGGGTCCTTGTTCTTTAACATCGGTTCTTCTTTGAGTCTTCTTTAAGATACTATCGTTTCACCATCCCATAATTCGTTATCCATATTATTACCAAATCCGATTCTTCCCCTACCATCTCTTAAACCGACCATTTACCACTGTAAACTATTTGTTTCTTATGTTTATCTTATGCAGGTTGCTTCGCTTCCTTCCTAGATCCACACTCGATCGATGAGGTCCGACCGTGATTGCGTCATTTAGTATCAGAGCTTTTGGTAGAAGAAGAAATGTGCAACAGAAACAAAAACAAAAAAATACACTAAAGAGAAGTCACCCTTCGATTTGAGGACAAATCGCCCAAAAGAAGGGGAGAATGATGTGATCCTGACTAGCACCAGTTTTATCCATTATTTTATCACATCATGGACGTTCTACCTTGTTGATTATAAGGAAGTTATTCCTTATTTTATAATATATTTACTCATTTATGCATACATTTGCATGTTAAATGTAAAGGATATGGCAGTGCACCTATTTTATCCAGTGGACAGATCACGTCACCCATATTGATCGCCATTTATGCACATGTTGCAAGCATATTTGGGTGATAAAGTCTTCTTAACATTTTTTTAAATATCTCTTAGCTTTCCAACACACTTTGAATCAAATCAATCTGATATGTGGAACTCGAGATATGGCCAAATTACTGAAGACAGTGCAGGCTGGAAATAAGTACGGGATTTGTAGCTATTCATCTCCTTCAATGGACTTATGCTTGAGAGGCCTTAATGGAGAACATGCCACATGTTAGGACAGTCTAGTGGAGCCCTTAGAAGACACATCCAGCTCACAAACATGGCAGCAAGGTTTATTGGAGCATTACACACAATTGGCAGCTTGTTGGAGCATTAAGGAAACATGACAACTCACCAACAACTCATGACAGATTGTGGGGCAGCTTGTGTAGGGAATTTCGGCTGGAAGTGCACAAATGACAACTCAACACCACCAGCCCTTGTTTTGTTAATTATCTACTCAAATTAAGCTTTAAATGAAGACAATACACTCCCAAATTGCTGCTGCACGTCCTACACGAAATTGCACTACAAAACAGCCCATGTCCATGCCAACAAAGCAAGATGCTTGTCTCCACTTAGCAACAACTTGAAGAATTCGGCCAAACACTTCTAAGTCCTATAAATAGGCTTTCATATTGCATTAGAAGAGAGCTCATTATGATGAATTAAGTGAGATTATTCTCTTGTTTAAGTCCTTGTGACTTTTATCGACCAAACAAGTAACTTGTTACTTGTGGTGTCAATTCCTTTCATTATGATAATTCTGGTTCCTATCTCTATATAGATAGTGGGTCAAATTCCTTGTTACCACCCCTTAGAACGATTTGTAAGGCTGGGTCTTTGCTCTTTGTAGCACTGGTTCTTCCTTGGTTATTCTAAGATACTATCCATTCCTTATTTACCATCCCTTATTGGAATAATATAAAGTATGGGTCTTTGTTCTTTAACATTGATTCTTCTTTGAGTCTTCCTTAAGATACTATCATATTTACCATTCCATTAATTCGTAATCCACTTCATAACCACAACCAAGTCTTTCGCTACCATATCTTATCCGACCATTTACCATCAAGTTTACCACTTAAACTATCCATTTCTTACCCTTTTCTTATGCAGGTTGTTTTGCTTCCTTCCTAGATCCACAATCGATCGACGAGGTCCGATCGTGATCGCGTCATTTGGTATCAGAGCTAGTTGGAAGAAGCACCGTACATCAAGCGAGATTATCGTATCTTACGGTAATTAGAGCTTTTAGTTGGAAGAAGCAACATACAACGAAAATAAAAAAAATATATACAAAAAGAGAAGTGCAAGTATAGTGCAAAGTGAAAAAAACGAAAAAAAAATCAGCAAAAGAAGATTAAAACGTTCAACAACAAGACTTATCACCAAGCCATTCAAGTAAGCTTTGATTGATTGTGGTGATAGAAAGGTTGTGAATTAACTTTGTCCGACGCAAATCGAGTAAAATCTACTTGATACGGTTTTTGAGTAAAGTCATTTTAGGACTTGACATAAAGAGAATTGAGCGGTAAAAGGCAAGAGTGAACACCAAGGGTAAAAGCCATCCCGAGTTAAACACGAGTGTTGAGCGACATTCAAGTTTTCTTTGGAGTGAATTGGTGAGATTCTTTTTATGTTACTAACAGTTATTTTGATTATTTTTATTAATCTTTTTCTTTTCATTATGTCTCGAAAGTACACAAGATCAAATGATTATACAGTAGATGACGAACGAGATTTTTTATCAAATTCTCAATTTCAAGATTTCAGTCGAGAATTGAGGAGTTTGCTCAAAGAAAGTCTCAACCCAATCATAAAGACGATGGATCGTATAATCGAAAAACGTTCTTGTTCACAAACACCTCCGCCGAAGATCAGGGGCCAAATCAAGAGGAGAGACGACACTCGACCCGTTCCTACATCCAATTGGAACGAAAGATCTTACGAAGAGGATTCCAATTTCCGAAGCAATGTCAAAAGTTCAACGAGAAGAGAGCCAAGAAATTTTGCATGTTTTAATCCAGAAAGTCTAGCTCGTCTTCAAGAGTGTGTTGACAATTTCGTCAAAGAAACACAATTGCAAGAACAACTACAAAAAGAAAGTGTTTGCAAAAATAAGAAGTGAAAGTTGAAAACGACATTGAGAGCAATGAAAATAAGAAAATCGATGTGAGAAATGTTGGAGTCGAAAATGAGAATGAGAGTGAAAATGAAGAATTTGAAAAAGAAATTGTTTGTGCAAAGGAGAAAGAGTGTAAAATTTCAATTTGCACTAACAACCTTAACCATTCTTCTTCTATTTTTGGATCTTCATTGTTGCAGGAGGACAAGACGAGTACTTCCAGAAACATGATAAACACATCGCCAACCCTATTGATGATCGAGCATCGTCCATGCTCTAGCAATGTTTCAAAGAAGGACTTAATGAAAATTTCTATTCCCAAGGAACTGGTACCCAATGATATCATCAAGTATCATCCAAGGTTTAATCTTTCTAACTCTTTTGTTATTGATTTACCTACTAACTTTTATTTACTATTTGGAGGGACGATACAAAAACGTGGAATTGATGTATTGAGTTGCGAGGATAAGTATCTTTGCAATCTTGATAAGAAATTGCCACTCTCCAATTTGCAAATAAACGATTTGAAGGAAAAGCTATCCCACCATCCTCATGATGATTCAAGGAAATATGAAGTTACCAAATATGAAGTCAAGAGGTTGACCATTGGAGAAAGGTATGAGGATTCCATCCATCCTACATCAAGAAGGTCTTCAATGAGAAATCATTTCGATTTGAGGACAAATCGCCAAAAAGAAAGGGAGGATGATGTGAGCACGTTTAGGGCCGGTTTTCTCCATGACGAAAACCCCTCAAGGACGTTCTACCTTATTAACTCTAAGGGAGTAATTCCTTACTTTATTACTTATTTACTTATTTATGCATTACATTGCATATTAGTAATTAAGTTGTTTAGTATGTTAGAGTAGCTTTGCATATCATGTTTCACATTTTCGTTCAATCATCATTCATGTCAAGCATATTATTGTATCATATTAGTTTTGCATTTCATCTTAGTATTTAAGATGTTCACGTGTTATGTAACATGTTTCCATAAACAGCATACTTGTAGCTAATTTGCATTCAACTTAGTTCCTAGGTTATTCAACTAAGTTCACGTGTTGTTCACATATCATTGTGCAATTCATTTGCATTCATATTTAATTATTTGTTAGCTCATTAATATTTGTCATCTTAGCATTCATGCATATGTGTTTGTTCATGAGAAATAAAATTACTTATTCATGTTTTCACGTTTCAGCATATCACTTGTGTGACTTATTTTAACGTGTTATTCTGCATTTATGTATCATTTGCCGTGCATTTGCAATCAACCTTGCATATTTTAGTAATCATACATATTAAACATTTAGCTCATTTATAAAATAAGTTCACGTGCTCTTTAATGCAAACAAAGGCTCACAAGACACAAGACACACATGGCAGCAAGTTTTATCACTTATAATATCACGTTAATATTAGTTTATTTGCACTTGTAGGGAACACAAAGCTCATGCTCCATACTGGGCGGTTTTTGAGGAGGTTATTTGACATATTTTCATGGTACAAAACGGTAACAAGGCTATTAAAATATAGCACAAGTTGGAGCAGCGTATTGAAGCTCTTATCCAGCTCACTCTACGGAACACCAAGTGATCAGCCCATGCTGGACGATTTTTAAGGGATTCTTTGAACACAAATCCAGCACATAACACGACCATGTGGGTTGATAAATAATGGAGAACGTTTTGGAAGCTTATGGAGCATTAAAGGAACACCAAAGAGTATGCCCATGATGCACGGTTAATGGAGCATTATTTTAAACACATTTCCAGCACGTTCCAGCATTTAAAGGATTAAGAATGGCTCACCCACCTATTCAACAATTCATGGTAGAATATGAGCATTTAGGGAGAATGAATTTGGTTGGAAATTCACCACCAGCCTTTTTCCTTGATTAAACTATTATCTCCACTTGGGAAAAGATGAAGACAAATCCACGTGAGTTTTATATTGTAAAGCACACAAGCCAAAGCACTTAAGGGAACAACCCATGTGCGTGAAAAGGAGGCACTAGACATCCCATGTGCGTGAAACACTCCAACAGCTCATGTATTATTTAATCAGCCATGACTAGACCATCACTCACAAAGAAGGCCAGTACACGCCAAATCACACTTGAAGACAACCATGTGCGTGAAACACTCCAACAACCCATGTGCTCACTTATCTCCACTTTGTTTAATCTCCACTAGACATCTTTTAATGAGATTCGGCCAACACACTCCACCAACCATATGACCGAAAATCATGCAAGAATTTGAGCTGAAATTATGTCTAAAGGAGTCCACGTCAACAAGCACCAAGAGGCCATGCAAATTGAAACAATCAGCCATGCATTTTGTACCATACGTCCATGCATGTTATAATTTTAGCCTTTGTATTTCTAGTCTTATAAATAGCTTCATTTTGCATTGTAATGATAGACTTTGTTTTAATGAAATTGTGAGAGTTTTCTCTAATCGAGTCATTCGTGACTTTTATCGACTTATCAAGTAATTCGTTACTTGTGGCGTCATTCCTTTCACCTTGATACTTATGGTTCCTATCTCTTTATAGATAGCGGGTCAAAGTCCGATTTACCATCCCTTATCGAAGCAATATAAAGTCGGGGTCCTTGTTCTTTAACATCGGTTCTTCTTTGAGTCTTCTTTAAGATACTATCGTTTCACCATCCCATAATTCGTTATCCATATTATTACCAAATCCGATTCTTCCCCTACCATCTCTTAAACCGACCATTTACCACTGTAAACTATTTGTTTCTTATGTTTATCTTATGCAGGTTGCTTCGCTTCCTTCCTAGATCCACACTCGATCGATGAGGTCCGACCGTGATCGCGTCAGAGTTGCACCGTCATCTTCACCACACAGAACACTTCAAATATGGTCTATGTCAATTTTTATGGATTCGTACCTTTTCGTGAATAGTTGTCATTCCAAAAGGTGCCTTTTCACAAGGAGCTGACCTATGACTCATCTTCATGTAATTCATCTATGGCCAGCTCATCTTCAGCTCAAACACTTATAAAGTAGCTCAAATGATGAAAGGTTGCCTTCCACATAATGCGACCTTTCATGACAAGTTGCTGCCCATTGAAGGCCATGACACCTAGATGCATGTTGGAAGCCAAGTCACGCCTAGTTGCTGCCATATTCATTCCATGGACTTCAAGACACCATCCTATCGTTTTAACATCACCAAAGCCTTTCAAGAAGACCCATGTGCGTTCAAGTAGGCTGTCATGTGCATCATTCAAGCATGTGCACTCCATGTGACATCAAATTGGCGCCAAAACACCAAGGGATGTTTCCTATTCGGTCAAAGACTCTTTCCTCTTCATTTTGGCGCCCAAATAACTTCCAAATGCATTCAAATCAACCTTAGGGCCGAACCAACACATAACCATTCGGCCAAGAGCATGTAAATTCATTTAAATCATATATTTTCATCAAAAATCATGTATTTTCAAAGGGGTTTCAACCTTGGCCGAACCATCAAGTATCTATTCGGCCTAAACCCTTTGAAAACTATAAATAGGCTTTGATATTTCATTTGTAGAAGAACCCTTTTATAATTAAAAAAAATCCTTTGTGAGATTATTCTCTCTTCAAGTTCTTTTTAGAACTATATCGATTAAGCAAGCCTTTCTAAAACTTGTGGTGTCATCCCTTCACCTTGATACTTCTGGTTCCTATCTCCTATAGATAGAGGGTCAAAGTTCTTAATACCATCCCTTATAACGACTTATAAGAAACGGGTCTTTGCTCCTTTATAGCATTGGTTCCTTCTTAGTCTTATAAGATACTATCTATTCATTACCACCTTCCATCATCCCTATCACGCCAACTCCATTCCATTAATATTTCCATCACCATTATCCATATCCCTTCACACCCATATAATCATCCTTCATCATCAACAAGGCATTCGTCTATTTACCACCATCGGAGGCTGAATCCATCATAACTTGAAGGATCATTCTACAACACTTCCGCAGCCCTTCTTTGATAACTATTCTATCCATTTCAATTCTTTCTATTTCCTTTCTTAATTATTCTTTTACTTAACCAATTATTCTTCTTTTGTGCATATTACTTTTCAATTCAAGGCGTAGCATTTGGTGTCTCTCCTAGATTGGGAAACAACAAGGTTGCCAACTTCTCCATTATTGAAGAAGCCTGGTTAACCTTACATCAAGCGATAATCAGAGCTTTGGTGGATTGACATTCAAAGTGCTACAACAAAAAAAAGCAACAAAAAGAGAAATAAAAAGAAGAAAAAAAAAAAAAAAGAGAAAGAAGAGACTCCTACAACAAATTTGGAGTGCAAAAGAAAGAAAAAGAAAAACAGAAATTCAAAGAAATAAGCAAGTTCCAAAGTACACTCAAAGAGAAGCATATTACAATCTGCCCAACATCAAACTTGAAGGAGGTATCCTTGTTGTTTCTTGTGAAGGAAGATAGTAAGTGTTGCAACTTGAGTTGTAAATTATCTTCACTTTCTTACTATTTCATTTCTTTATTCTTTCATTTTTTTTTCTTCTTGTTGTTTCTGGTAAGGTTTTAATTTTTTTTCTTTCTACTAACAATATCTTATGATCTTTCATCTTTCCAAACAATGGAGAACGAACAGCAAATAACAAACACATTTCACACTCGTTGCCATGTAAATGGTAAAGTGTGTCTTGTAGCTATTGACGGAGGAAGTTGTACAAACATTGCAAGTACATACATGGTGAACAAATTGGGGCTTGCAACGATTAAACATTCCAGCCCATATGAATTGCAATGGTTGAACAACGAGGAAGAGATGAAGGTCACTGAACAAGTACTTGTGCCATTCTCAATCGGAAGATACAAAGACGAGATTCTATGTGATGTGGTGCCTATGAGTATGAGTCATTTACTTTGGGGGAGGCCATGGCAATTTGACAAACGGGCTGTCCATGATGGATTCACAAATCGGTACTCAATCATCCGCAATGAAAGAAAATTCATTTTGACTCCATTATCTCCTAGTCGAGTGAGTGAAGATCAAACTCATTTGAAAATGAGAATTGAAGCAATGAAAAAACAACTTAAAGACAATGCAATTGAAGGAGAACGTTTGGAGGAAGTTTCAAATGAAGAAAAGCTTTTTGAAGTTGAACAAAAGAGAGTGGATGTAGAAAATGTTGGAGTTGAAAATGAGAATAATGAATTTGGAGAAAAAGAGGATAGTGAAGAACAAATTTTATCTAACCTTTCCTCTCCTATCATTCCTTTTGTTTTGCAGGACCATTCAAGGGATATATCTTTTCAAGGAGATAAATCAAGAATCATGGCTTTTAGAGGACTAAAAGATGTGACTTTTGGTGATCCACAAAACATGTCTCTTGATATTTCAAAGGAAGTGTCACTTGAAATGCCAAGAGTAGCAGCCGTTAACATTCCAAATACACTGCACATATTGAAGGGAATTCAACAACCAATGGAGTTCTCCATCATTAAGCAACCAACTCCCATTAAACATCCACCTTGGTTTGATATTTCCATTCATTTTGTTTATAATTTCTCATATTCTAACTTTGATTTAGTTTGCAGGAAATCAATTCATATACATGGGACTTGTAAAATGGAGGAACCAAGAGGCATGATCCATGGAAGCTTAAGAGAAATATATTTTCAAGTGCCAAAAGCTATAACTTTTCATTCAATGGACATGACTTTTGGAATGCCAAGGGACATGATCATTCAAAGCAACATGTCTTCAACAGACATGATTTTTAGCGATCCATCAAACACCAACAGGAAGTATAATTTTCCTTTATTTGTATTCAATCATGTTTTTACTTATGAGAGTTATCTTTCTTTTCAGGTCATGTATATCCAAAGCACTTATTCAAAGGACATGACTTATGAAAAGAATCTTTTCATAAAGATCCCTGTTGCATCTATCGGATGGGAGGATAATTTAGAGAAGTCACATTTTGATTTGAGGACAAATCGCATAAAAGAAGGGGAGGATGATGTGATCCTGTCTAGCTCCAACTTTATCCATGACTTGATCACACCATGGAGATTATTCAAAGCTGGTTCTAAGGGAGTTCTTCCTAACTTTATCTTATATTTACTTATGTATGCATTATATACTATTATGAGCATACATATAAAGATTACACTATACTTGAATTATCATAACATGTGCATTCATTCATTATATGGTTTGCATCATTGATTGATATTCAAGCATATAATCTATAGTTATAATAATAATATTCATTCATTATCATATGATGCATGAGTTATTATTATATCCTATAGTCCACATATTTATATATTTATATCCTATATTACTTAGCTTATAATATGCTTTCTTTTGTAGGTGTATATTCGGCCACATGATGGGAGCTGACTTAAAGCTAGAATTTGAGTCAATGAGCTTAGGAAACTTGACTAGAACAACTCCGGGATAGCTCAAAAATATTTTGGGACAAAGTTGCCAGCTGACCGTCGAGCTCAT